ATATATTATTAATATAATATTATTAATATATTATTATTACTTACTTAGTTTAGTGATTATTTGATTAAAGTTTTTTTTTTTTTAATTTTGCGAGTTATACGTCCGCCACGTTATTTATAATATAATAAGAGTGGGATAGATACGTAGTGTACATCTTCAAATCATAAAATAATAATTGCAATGTACTTGCATGAAAAGGCATTAGATATTTTCATTGATGAAAGTTTTTTGCAATATAAAATTGGTGAAAAACGACATAAGAGGAGAAAGTGTAATAATTATTTTTTATACCCTGCACCGATTTAAGCTTCCCTCTCCGTTTGTCTGTCTCTCTGCCCAATGTCTCCCCATGTTGGTGTGAATAACTGGATTAGGCGAATGGGTGTAGGGTATCTAACGGCGGCTATGGTGTTCTTATCTTTTTTTTACTAATTATGCGCGTTCCAGTAGATCGATGGCGATCATATCCGCACTGATTTGTAAGGCTTGCACAGATTTCATTTCTGTCTTTTGAATTTTGGTTTGTTGAGTTTCCTTTAGTTTTTATAGTTGCTCAGGGCATATTACCTATGATTGAATTATACCCTCTTGTAAACGTGATCTTTTACCACTAATATGTACAAAATTTTAGTTGATCGCAGAAATTCTTCCGGCAATAAGTAATCCATCGAAAAGAGAATGGAGATCCATATCTTACGCCGAAAAAGAATCTAATAGGTGCTTGCATGTACTTTAATCATCGATATCTGTTGGTGAAAATGATAAAATACTTTCGACCGTGCTCTACCTAAAATAACAGTTTCTCATTAAGTATAATTGTTTACGGACGCTGATCATGGACCGCTCAAAATTGCATTTTCGACAATCGTTGCTTTCGCTAAGACAATGGAAGACAAGGTGCTCAAGACTGTGGACTTTGGAGAGCAAGCATTACTTCAATCAGCAGAAATAGCACCTATTTTGGGTAAATAAAAAGGATCATATGTGCGGCTAATCGGCTAATCAACCGATTGATATCCTTAATACATATTAGGTCAAGCTTAACCGTACGATAACATGGTTTGTGAAGATTTAAATTGAAAATTGAGAGGAAAGACTGCGCCCTTGTTTTGTGAATTTAGAACATATTCACGGTTCCTCGATTCGTTCAGTTCCTGAGGGGTAATGTCGAGTACATAGGCATCGCATGAAAAATCGTAAGTAACTCCGCAGTGCGAGATGACAATGTTCTATTGACACTGAAAAGAAAGAAACAGTCAGGTCATGTGTTGAATTGTAGATAGAAGCATCGGCTGCCATAATAGTAAGTTTCTTACTACTTGATCGCCTACGCCGGTATAGTACGTAAGCAGAGGCTTTTAAGGAGTGCCTGTTTTTTGTTTTTGTTTTCAGAAAGAAGGTATTGTTAGAATTTTTACCTTGCCAGATGGTATGTACTTTTTAAACGTACAAATATTGTCAAAGACAAAAGGAAACTTATCGTCAACGTATGAATAGCTATTTTTAAACTCAAGGGCAACGTTTTGGGGGCTAAATCCTATAATGTTGTAAACTTCCGTATAACGTTATCTTGTAGCGTATAACTTCCCATAAAAGAGTACAATGTTTGCTCATTCACTTGACACATCCACAGTAAAATTCCATAAAGTATCGCGCGGACAAGTATAACCTGACGTTAACATGTACAAATATGTTTTCACTTTGTTCTTACTTTTCCGTAATTTCATGCTGTTCAGCTCTCCTCTTTCCTTACTCCAGATGCGCATTTCGATTCTCCTGGTAACTTAAGATGCCTAAGTATATTCTGAAGAGAACGAACGTGTTTATTGAAGAGTGAAAGACTTTTTGAAAGAAAATTTTCACGCTACTCTGACATTCCTTTTTGCAATATATGTACTTAGGAGTTATGATGTTAACAGTTGTGGTTTAAATTCTCTACTTAGCGCATCGATTTTTTTGAAGAAAACGTATTGTTGCGGAAATCTCAAATCTAGTTGATTCCAGCTTAGTCATTTTCCCAAATAATAAATTTCTTAAAGAGAAAAGAAACCAAATGCGGATTAGCGGAAAAGCAGACAGGTAAAAATCAAGTGCATATTCGCAGGCGCGTCATGCAGTTGCAGGTCGAAAAGCAGGTTAACGAATCAAGTCATAAAATAAGGTACTAGTAATGCGATGGTAAAAATGTATATAAATAGAATATTTGTGAAAGACAAGGTAGTAGAAAAAGAATATTTGAGTTAAGCTGTCGAAAGTATTGTCGAAACTAAATTGTAAATAATCCCACTTTTAAAGAAATATAATTGTAAATAAAAATAACATCGAAGTGTATTTCTCTTGAACAAAATATCCACGGTCCAGTGATATGGACTGTATCTTAGAAAAGCGAATTTCATAACAGTATAAAAGAGCTTAGTAAACCCTGTCTTAGTTATTACTTTATTATTAACTGACATTTTCCATCTAATTAGCTGGTTCATGCGCTTAGTAATAGCTAGAAAAAGCATAGATAGATAGCATCAGCGGAATCAACAATGCGAATCCAGTAACCAACATAAGGTTATCTTAGTTCACATAAATAATATCGAGCGTTCGAGCGAGTTATAATAATATTGGTTTAATAGAGGCAAAGACAAAGAAATAAACAGGAGAATATTAAAATGGAAATATCGTTTACGGGTCGAATAAAAATATCCATCAATTACTGAAGTGAAGTTAGCCCACTGTATCTAGCCCACATTTTAGCAAAGACAAAAATGTAGGCTATCTTCACTCTTGGGTTCGCGTCCATGCTAAAGCAATTGATAATTGAACGTCGCAAAATGACTCGAAAAACTAAGCAAAACTAGAAATACAAGCATAAATAAAATAAGAAATTATACAGAAATGTTATTAGATATTAAACAAAATATTTTTTCTAGTATTTACCATATAGTGCATGTATAGCGTTGGCAAAAAGTTGCAATATGTGTGTATAAAAAACTTTTAAGAAATATGACATGTACAGTTTTTTGATATATCTTAAAGGACGCTAAAACCTATCAGAAAAACCTAATTTCGTTACACCGGTCCTCTCCATATACCCAAAACACTAAATTAGTTATAATTCATTGATTCATATTTAGAAAAAATGACGACAACTCAATAACATGCATAGAAGTTCTTAAGCAAGTGCATGGGACAAACGCGCTATTATTGCAAACAAATGCCCGTAATGTATAATCGAGAAACATTGCTTTATTTGCTTCTATTCATAGTTTGCCATCCTCTCAGCTTGTTAAAAAATCTGTTTGGGTTAGAGTGTTAGCAGGAGGAGATTAGCGTGCCGAGTTGCTTTCTGCACTTACTGTTTCTTTAGATTCATTTCGTGAGTCAGCGATGGACATAAGCTTAAGCCTTTCCTCAAAATGTGCCACTGTGCCATTGATCGCAACAATAACCGCTTTCTGAAAAACACACTTCACCAGCTCGCACTTAAATTTGTAAACCAAGAGACATTCAAATTATAAAACTAAAAAATAAGAGTTACTTTATAATCTCGAAGGAGCTAAAAGAAGATGGGACCCCATAAGAAGATTTTTCCTAAAGCAAACTTCCAACTTCTTTCTGCAGCTAAGGAGTGCTAGACGCACTGGTGTAAAGAAATCATTTAGAAATCTCATGGTGATTATGGAGGTAATCATCCTATCATCCGTATTTTCGAGGTTTACTGACGGACTAACGAATGTGAAGAATTTTCATTGTTCGGTGGTGGGTGTGGAATTGTTGAAGATATAGCCTGGCGTACGGAGACTGACCTCTTTAGAGAGAATTTGAATGAAATTGGTCAATGGGGCACAGTTAATTGCATATCGAACGCTCCTTTCTGCGAGTCCGTCGAGTAGGTTGCACGAGCTATGTGCGTTAGCCGAATCGGATGCTGGGTGCGTGTATCCAACGCTATGCAATGAGAGCTGTCTTAAACGCAGCAAATAGGAAATTTATATGCATAGCCACAGTATTCGTAAATGGAGAAATAAACGCTCAGGCATAAAGATTAAAAAGTCAAAAATAAGCAAAATGAAAATGAAAAAAACTAACGTAACTTATATGCACAAATCTGAATTTTCCCATTGTTTTGCTGCTTTTAATCGATTTTTTTGTATATAGAGGATATTCTGATTGCGTTGGCTGGTGCTGCTAGTACGACACAAAGCAGTGAAAATAAAAAAAAAATAAAAAAATAAATAAATAAAAAACCCTTTCACAAAATCAAGCGGTTTACTTTTACGGTGGCTTTGTTTGTGTTTTTCTTCTTTCTATTTTTTTTTTTTTTTTTTTTTTTTAATTTTTATCGTTTCACTATTTCTATGGTATGCACATGGAGATACCCTCGACTGAAGACGTAATGTCGATTGCGACGACCACTTGCATTTCGAGCTTATTGTGGGAAATTTCACGCTGTAATTTCTCGAAAGCCGGACGACAGACGTGAGGTGAAGGTAGGGGAAACAAATTTCGATAGTTTCATATGGCTTTGAAATACATACGAGCTGACCTATAAGCAATGAAAATATTTACTTCTTCTACCTGTAGAGTTCCCATTTTAGTTAATTAATGTGATGTTTTGCCGATGCTTTATTCACGAAAATAGATCTGTATCATGAAATCTTGTCTAAATCGAAGTCTAATCATCAATTTT